AAGATGCTTCCAGTGTTTGATATCTGTTCTAGATGCAATTCTTATGATGGTTATATGATGGTTATATGATGGTTATATGAAAGTTATACCATTAAAATGTTTTTCGGATTAAAAATTAATTCTTTTGAGGTATCCCTAACGAAGCGATCTCCAATCCTCGACACGTGGACGTCATGTTTGATGTGACTTGACGTGAGGGACGAAACACCAACAGTTGGACTTACAAATCTTGCAAATCCTGCAAGACTCAAAATAATCCCATCACCTTAATATTTGATACGCCTCCTAGCTGAGCTGGTTTAGTACTGGCCCTGGTCATTTTGGGTGCCCATGGGAGGTGTTTAATATGATCTTGATTGGGGGATGGGAATATATCCAAAGGTCTAGTCCTACGATTATGACAACATGGCAACCTGAAACATGACCATCTGAAACAGTAAACTCATCTTCCAAAGCATCACTCTTTGATGTTGGGATTTTTTGAACATGGGTTTTAGTTCCGCCAGCAAAGGTATACTCATCATCATCTTTTTTTCTATGGGTCCAATCTGCGGGTCGCATTTTTTTGGTACCACCAAAGTCGAATCCCAGAAATGAGAGGGTGGGTTCCATGGGCACCTTCAAGGAGTGGTCGATCTTCTTATCCAGATATTCGGTCTCCACTCGGTTGGCCTCGCAGTGCGAAAAGCGATGGTTGAATGGACGTTCTGAAACTAATCTTTCGATAGTTTTGATCATCATCTTAATATATCTTAATCGGTTTTGCTGGATTTTTAATGTTCTCTGGATGTAGAATTGGATGCTATACATAGCCTTGGATTGGGATCGGCGATTCTTCACTCTTTAGCCATCCTGCGCAAAGATTCATCGATTCATGAATTCCAGACCTTTTCATTGTTGGGCCATGACATTTTCAGATTTTCCAAGATACAAAAAATAAATCAGATGCCAACATAACACATCATATATATATATAATATATATATATATATATTATAGATAGATCCATATAGCCATCATATAACCATCATTAATAACCATCATACATCAGATTTTCACAGAGGTAGAGTGGTTGATCCAAAAAATGGAATCCATCCCAGCAGTGCCTCGGTGGACCACTCCACCATTTTCTTCATGTTGTCGTTGGAGATCTTGGTGGCCTCGCTGGAGCCATGGAGCGACTATTCGAACCGGGTGAATATTGCGACTGTGGGTCAAAAAATGTGCGACCTATATATTTATAATACATATTATATATTATATATTGCATATTTATTTATATATTTATTGTCATTATTTTATTGTTGTTATTATTATTATTATTTATTTACATGTGTATATGTATGCATCTATATATACATATTCTGGGATTCACCTGAGCCCCAACTCCGCTGACCACCGCGGCACCTTTTCCAGGTTGCGGATGATGGTGCGATCGCCGCGGATGACCGCGTCGCGCACACCTAGGGATGACTGTCATGATGACAATAAGAATGAGAAGGATAATAATGACAATGGTAATGATATTAGTAATGATTTTGTATATATCTACATAATCATGATGATGATGATGATGATGATATTAGATAGGTATGATATATATATATATATATTGTACTATATTATATACATATATATATATGAATTGATACTAATATAGTGATAAACCTGATTGCGATCATAATAAATAATGTTACAATCGTAAGAATGACAATGATAATGATCACAATGATAAACTATGAGAATGGTGGTGATAGTGATAAGAGTATTTGTTTATAATAATACCATATAATATCATGTTATAATTATGGTCACAACTCCTTTTTCCCCACCTGCCAGGTGAGGGTTGTTAGATTTTATGTCAGTTGCCTCCTCCTCCTCCTGCCTCGTCCTCCTCTCGTCCTCCTCTCCTCCTCCTCCTCTCCTCCTCGTCCTCCTCGTCCTCCTTGTCATCCTTGTCATCCTTGTCGTCCTCTCGTTGTCCTCGTCGTCCTCGTTGTCCTCCTCGTCCTCCTGCTCAACTGCGACTCGCGATCCACAGTGTTCGCTGCCGGACCTCAACCACGACCATCCACGCCCAGTGGTCCCTGCCGGACCTCAACCACGGCCATCCACGCCCAGTGGTCCCCCCCCCGCCCCCCCCCCTGCCGGACCTCAACCACGGCCACCAAGCCCGTGTTCCTGCCGGAACCTCAACGCGAGTATCCACGCCAAGTGTTCCCTGCCGGACCTCATGTAGGAAGATATGGGACAAAGAATGTGCAGAAGAAAGTTAGAAAGAATGTCAGAAAGAATGTCAGAAGATATGCCAGAAGATATGCCAGAGGATATGCCAGATAGAATGCCAGATAATATGCCAGAAGATATGCCAGATAGAATGCCAGATAGAATGCCAGAAGACTTGCCAGAAGATATACCAGAATATATGCCAGAAGATATGCCAGATAGAATGCCGGATCGAATGCCAGAAGATATGTCAGATAGAATGCCAGAAGATTTG